TATCGCTAAAGAACATTGATACAAAAATCCTCAACAAAATACTAGCAAACTGAATTCAACAACACATTAAAAAGATGATTCTTCATTACCAAGTAGGATCTATTCCAGGGATGCAAGGATGGTTCAACATATGGAAATCAATCAATGTGACACATCACATCAACAAAATGACAGGCAAAAACCATATGATCTTTTCAATTTATGCTGAAAAAAGCATATGATAACATTTAACATCCCTTCATGATAAAAACCCTAAAAAAACTGTGTATACAAGGAACACACCTCAATACAATGATAAATGGATACATTTCTAGACACATAAAACCAACTGACACATATAATGAAAGCCATGTGTGTGACAGACCCACAGGTGATATCATACTGAACAGGGAAAGACTGAAAGGCTTTCTTCTCAGATATGAAACAAGACAAGGATGCACCACTTTCACCATATGTTATTGTTACACAACATAGTACTGCAAGTCCTAACTAAAGCAATCAGACATGAGAAAGAAAAAAGGGCATCCAAATTGGAAAGGAAGAAATCAAATTGCCCTTGCAAATGATATGGTCTTATATTTGGAAAAACCTAAAGACTCTACCAAAAACTATTAGAACTGATAAACAAATTCAGTAAAGTTGCAGGATACAAAAATCAGTGTACAAAAATCAGTAGCATTTCTATATGCCAACAGCAAACAACTTGAAAAAGTAATCTCATTTACAATAGCTACAAATAAAATACCTAGGAATTAACTTAATCAAAGAAGTGAAAGACCTTTGTAATGAAAGCTATAAAACACTGATGCAAGAAATTGAGGAGGACACAAAAATGGAAAGATACTCGATATTCATGAATTGGAAGAATCAATATTGTTAAAATGTCCACACGCCAAAACAAACTACAGATTCAATGCAATTTCTATAAAAAACCAATGACATTCTTCACAGAAATAGAAAAAAAACCCTAAAATTTATATGGAACAACAAAAGACCCAGAAAGCCATCCTGATATAAAAAGAACAAAACTGGAGGAATCACTTCCCCTTACTTCAAATTATATTTCTGATCTATACTAACCAGAACAGTACGGTACTGGCATAAAAATAGTCACATAGATTAATGGAACAGAATACAAACCTCAGAAATAAATCTATACATCCGCAGTGAACTCATTTTCAACAAAAATGCCCAGAAAATACATTGAAGAAAGGATAATCTCTTCAATAAATGGTGCTGGGAAAAGTGGATATCCATATGCAGAAGAATGAAACTAGACCCCTATCTCTTACCATATACAAAAATCAAATCAAAATGAATCAAAAACTTGCATCTAAGACCTCAAACTGTAAAACTGCTAAAAGAAAACATTGGGGCAACTTTCCAGGACATTGATCTGGGCAAAGATTTCTTGAGTAAACCCCACAGGCACAGGTAACAAAGCAAAAATGGACAAATGTGATCACATCACATTTAAAAGCTTCTGCACAGCAAACAAAACAATCAACAAAGTGAAGAGACAACTCACAAAATGAAAGAAAATATTTTCCAACTATACATCTGACAAGGGACTAATAACCAGAATATATAGGCAGCTCAAACAGCTCAATAGGAAAAAATTTAATAATCCAATTTTTAAAATGGGCAAAACATCTAAGTAGACATTTCTCAAAAGAAGACATACAAATGGCAAACAGGTATATGAAATGGTGCTCAATGGCATTGAACATCAGGAAAATGCAAATCAAAACTACAATTAGATATCACCTCATACCAGTTAAAATGGCTTTTATTATATACAAAGAACTGGCAATGATGAATTTTGGTGAGGATGTGGAGAAAATGTTACCCTTATACACTGTTGATAGGAATGTAAATTAGTACTGTCTCTATGGAGAACAGTATGGAGAGTCCTCAAAAAACTAAAAACAGAGCTACCATATGATCCAGCAACCCCACTACTAGGTATATACCCAAAAGAAGTAAATCAGTATATCAAAGAGATATGTGTCCTGCCATTTTTATTGCAGCACTATTCACAATAGCCAAGATTGGGAATCAGCCTAAGTATCCATCAACAGATGAACACATAAAGGAAACGCAGTATGCATCTACAATGGCATACCATTCAGCCAAAAAAGAATGAGGTCTTGTCATTTGCAACAACATGGATGAAGCTGGAGGATATTATATGAAGTGTAATATGCCAGGCACAGAAAGACAAACATTGCATGTTCTCACTTATTTGTGGAAACTAAAAATCAAAATAATTAAACTCATGGAGATACAGCATAGAATGGTAGGTACTAGAGGATTGGAAGTGAAGTGGGTATAGGGAGGAAAAGGGATGGTTAATGAGTACAAAAATATAGTTAGATAGAATAAATAAGATGTAGTATCTGATAGCACAACAGTATTATTAATGACAATGGTAAAGGAATCAGAGCTGTTATTTTCTAGGAATGAATGTGTTAATGGAGTGAGCATCAACAGCAGATTTCCATGGTAACCTACAGACTTCAAAAACTGTTAATTTCTAACACATGAACAACTTCTGGAAGGTCACGTACATGTGTATGTGTGTGTATGTGTGTACAATGTTTTATAAATTTACATTATTGAGTCATTGATCGCTTGCAGTGTGTTAGCAGCTTTAGAAAAGGTAGTTATACGGAGCTCAAGGACACTAAATTCCTATATCAAGGGTTTCTTAACATTAATCACTTTTTCTCTCTTCAAAAACCAAGTAAAATGACCTCTTGAAATAGCTGTAGTATAATCCAATTTACAGTTTCATAGAAAATGTCAAAGAAAAATGTCTATTTTGTTCCTGTTCTCGATAAGTAATAATATATCTCATCTGAAGGCTCTAGGAGAAAAAAAAGGAATAAAATAAAAGCAACTGATATCTCTGCCAAAATATGTGATCTGTGGAAGCAAGTTCAACAATAGTGGTAACCAATATAAAATAACTTGAAACAAGTTTAATCAGTTGTAAATTATGTATCTGAAGTTATTGTATTTGTAGTTCATATTAATAGTCTAGATTTGAGAAATATCTCTTTAATGCACATTGATGGCTTGACATAACATCTATGATTTTTTCCTTCTCTTTATCAGTCTGACATTTTTCCTCCTTCCTTCTTTACCTTTTGATTTTGAATCATGAAATTTCCAATTTGAAACCATATTTGACCTATTAAAACAGCAATTTTGTATAGTTCAAAGTACATAAGACATGAAATAATTCTTAGGTGATATTTCAAGACAATAATCTGATGTTAATTTCCCAAATATCAAGATGGTATTTAATCATATTTCTAAAGATCTTCCACTGAAAGCTGTCTTGTCCTATGAGCTACATATAAGATATAGGCTAGTTGCTAAGTGAGCAGAAACAGTATAATTATGGGTTATAGTGGTATGCGGGTCAGGAGTATAGCATGATTTTTAAATCCTTGCATTATTTTGTAATGCATGTATGCTGAAGAAGGTTAAGAAAGGCACCGGGAATTCGTGTCCACTCTTCTAATCATTGCATTATTGGCCCTAACCTATTAAACTATATGTTTACCTGAGATATATAAAGAAATGCTGTCAATGTAAGTATACTTCCAAATTCTTCTTTTCTGCTGATCCACCAATTCAAGAAGTACTTTCTCACATGTGCTCGGGATGTAGTCTGCCAGGTCCAAGCTGGCCTTCTTGAATTGCTACCGTGCCACTTCCTTTGGTGACTGAGACTCAAGAGATCCATTTTGCTCCTCTCTATTCAAAAGGATTTCTCTGGAAATTCTGCTACCTTGGTATAAAATCCAAAACTCATACATGACCCCTGGAACTTAGGATATTCCTCACCACTGCCCTGATCATCACATATCCCAGGATCTTGACGTATCTCCACACAAGTTCTCAGTGTGAATAACATTGACTGTAGCAGCTATGGTCAATGTCATTGTCACTGAGAACTTGCAGGCCTGTTTTGCTGTTCCCTTCCAGCCTATCTCCATGTAGCTAAGAATGGCTGGCCACCACCATTAGGACTAGAAGGAGGAAGATTTTCCCCATCCTAGGCCAAAGAGCCACAAACTAGAATCCATTTTATTTTAGGGGAAATACTCTCATTACCCAGTAATACATGCTCTTATTCTGCAGTTTCAACAAGACATTAACAACACTGTATGTACAATCTCCTACCTTTTGGGCCTCATCTTTAGCCTTCTTGTTTACAGAATCACAGAATTTTGGTCCTCAGCAATAATTGTAGTTTGTCTTTCTTATTTTAAAAGTGAGGAATTCAAAGACCACCATGTTGCTGTTTTCCCTTACAACTATATTGAGGTACAATTGACATAAAATAAACTGCATATATTGAAAATGTATAATTTAATAAATTTGGACAGATTTATACACCCAGAAAACTATGAGCAGAAGATAAGCATACCCATCACATCCAAACTTACCTCATGTCCCTTTACAATCTCTCTTTGTCATCTCTCCCTTCATTAACTCTCACCACTGGTGTGCTTTTTGCCCCATAGGTTAATTTGTATTTTCTAGAATTTTATATGAATGAAATCAAACTGTATGTTCTCTTTTTATTGTCTGACTTATTTTACACTGCTTAGTTATTTTTGAAACTCATCTATGTTGTATAGGTATCAATAACTAATAAGTTTTTTTTGATTTTTGTTTGTTTGTTTGGAAACAGTCTCACTCTGTCACCCAGGCTGGAGTGCAGTGGCACGATCTCGGCTCACTGCAACCACCACTTCCCAGGTTCAAGTGATTCTCCTGCCTCAGCCTCCCGAGTAGCCAGGATTACAGGCATGCACCACCACATCTGGCTAATTTTTTTTATTTTTGGTAAAGACAGCGTCTCACCATTTTGGCCAGGCTAGTCTCGAACTCCTGACCTCAAGTGATCCGCCTGCCTCAGCCTCCCAAAATGCTGGGATTACAGACATGAGACACCATGCTGACCAACTCATTAGTTATCATTGTTGAATAAAAAATATTGCATGGATATCCCAGAATTTTCTATCCATTTACTGGTTGGTAAAAATTGGAGTTGTTTCCAAATATAGTTGATATGAATATGTATGTATAAGTCTTTGAATAGACATATATTTTCATTTATCTTAGGTAAATGTATAGGAGTGGAGTGGCTAGAACCTATAATAGCTACATGTTTAACTTTTTAAGATACCAACAAACTGTTGCTGGAAGTGGTTCTACCATTTTACATTACCTGTCAGAATTGTAAAAGTTTCAGTCTCTCCACATCCTTGTTAACGCTTATTATGATAAGCCTTTTTCACTTTAAGCACTACTGTGATGTCTAGTGGTATATCATTGTGGTTTCAATTTTACATTTCTTTGATGAAAAAAATTTGAACGTATTTTTATGTGTTAATATATTATGCATATCTTTTATTTTTGGAAGTATATGTTCAAATTGTTTGCCCAAATTGTTATGGGGTTGCCTGTTTTCTTAGTAGTGAATTTTGACAGTGTTTTAAGTATTCTGGATATGAATCTCTTATCAAATATATAATTTGCAATTATTTTCTCTTAATCTGTAGATTTTTTTCATTCCTATCAGTGTCTTTCAAAAAGCAAAAATGTTGGCCGGGCACGGTGGCTCATGCCTGTAATTCCAGCACTTTGAGAGGCCGAGGTGGGCAGATCACGAGGTCAGGAGATGGAGACCATCCTGGCCAACATGGTGAAACCCTATCTCTACTAAAAATACAAAAATTAGCTGGGCGTGGTGGTGCATGCCTGTAATCCCAGCTACTCAGGAGGCTGAGGCAGGAGAATTTCTTGAACCAGGTAGTCGGAGGTTTCAGCAAGCCGAGATCACACCACTGCACTCCAGCCTGGCGACAGAGTGAGACTCTATCTCCCATGTGCATGAGAAGCTGTTATGTAATATCTGTAACTGGTTTGAAAATCACTTGCCCATTCAATTCAGTTTGGCCTTACAAGCCATGAGATCAAAGTTGCTCAGAGAGGTAGATCAGTAGCCCTTTCTCAAGGAAGGGCCTGTATTATGGTTTCAGTGAGCTCTGTCTGAACATGATGTGATCCAGTGGCTACAGGTTTGAACAACAGAGTCTTCCCCTATCTCCTGCAATAAAGTACATGACAAAGAGAAGCTGAGCTAAAATTGTTGAGGTTTAGCATATATGACAAAAAAAGAAATCAATAGAAATCTGATCATAAGGTAAAGTTTGGGATGAAGACAGGTGGTTGGTGAATATATAGAACAGCAACTACTTTGGGTACTCTGGGTGCCAGGTCAATGCCAAACTCTACCTATTGGTCTGAATAAATATTTGTCCATACTCGCAGGCTTGGTCAGGATTTGTGTAGAAAGTGCACAGCAGGACTGAGCCTATGCATTCAAAGTCTTGAGTACCCCTACAAAGGAAGAGGACACAAACGAAAAATGTTCCCTCATACCAAGGATTGTCCTGAAATCCAAGACTATATTTTATGAGGTAAGTTAAAAATCACACTACTAATTACCAATATTGAGTAAATTAAGGGGAAGAAGATTACATTATGAAATTAATCAAATAGCATAATCTTATTGCTAATTCCCCCTCTCCATTGTTTTACTGCCTATATGATTCATGACATTTATAAAGCAGATCCAGGATTACCTCAAAAGTGCTTTTAAAAGTGAAAGAATGCTTTTAAAATGAAAAAAAAAAAACAATGAAAAGAATTATTTTATTCTCCTCTTGGTGGAGAGTAGAACTGAATAATTACGGTGAGATGCTGCCTTTGTCTCTACTGGAGGTTGTTGGAGTCACACTGGAGCTAAGAACTAGGGACCACATCCTGGCCTTTGATTTGAGGACCCTCTTGTGCATGTTTAATTTCCCACAACTCCAGAATCACTTGTAACATTGCAACTTTTCATATGTAAAAGTAAAATTAATAAACTTGTGTTACTCTTTATGTTTGGGTTGCTTAGAAGACATACATCAGAGAGAGAGAAATTACAGTATGCAATCTCTCAGCTGCCAACAGAACACAGATGGGCTTGGGAACACAGAATGATCCAGATCTGCAGGACTGGAGCAATCCGTGGGAAGTTTGGACAGAAGATCTGATGCATCAGACAGTAAAGGACTATTGAATGTTCCATGATAGATGTGCTTGTTCTTTTGCCTGCATGCCCTTGAATAAAGACATTTTGATCTCCAGGGCCAACCTGAGAAACATATAATTTAATCTAGTTTTGAAAGAAGAGCCCTGCTACACAAACACTAGCTCACAATATTAAAAGATATCAACTGAAATATCGAAGGGCTTTCATATTTCAGTAAATTGACTATCCTATGTGTTTGATATTTCCATTTAATTGAATATTTCTTAACTCAGTGAAAAGTGTATGAGCCTGCTATGATAAATTCAGTGTTGCATATGGGAATTTCAAGTATCTTTTATTGAATCTTATATGATAAAGTCAGTGTTGCATATGGGAATTTCAAGTATCTTTTATTGAATCTTATTTCTTGATCTCTCTCCTTTTAGAAGAGAGATACAAAAAGACCGTTAGCCTGCTTGCTTCTGTTTTTTTCTGCCCCATCTCCACCCTTATTCCCGAACTGTGGTTCACACATTTATTTCCATTTTTAAAAATTTTCTCTTCCTGCTGCCATTCTCTTATTACGCATTTTTTAAATACCCAGTCCACTTTCTTTACTTTTCTTTAATGTCTGCCTCAGAGCTCAGCTTTTTTAGTTAATTGACGATATCACTAGCCTTTAGTTCTGAGAGACTGAATACACAGTCACACCACACATAGAAATACAATTCTAACCCACAAACTTCAATAACCAGAGCAAGACCACAGCCTCCACGACAATTAGCCCAAAATGGTCAGGACCTGATCAATAATGGACAACTTTCACAATTTTTAGCTGCCTTCCCCCACTTCCAACTTTAGACCAACTGGAGAAAGACAAATATGCTGCCTAATCACCCTCATAGGATAGTTTTCTTTCAGTTATCGGGCTTCCGACTCCCCCATACCAATAGCCTTCAATCAAGCAGACCCGAAGTCTTCCCTTTTTTCCATTCTAAAGCTTTCCTTCTCCTCTGCCTTCCTTTGAGTCTCTGCCAAACATAAATAACAGCGGTTGACTTCCTTACTATGCTAGCTCTGAATAAATATCCTTTTCTTGTTCGCATCTGGGTGCACTTCATTTGTTTCCATAGTTCTTTCATTCTGTGAACTATCTAATTAAAAACTTTTTAAAATAAATACCATGGTCTTGGCTTTTCTGCAATCATCACCCCTCTCTAGCTTCTTCCTTCAATTCCACACCTTATCCAGATGCAAGCTAGCTTTTAGGAAGTTTTAGGAGGTACTTTTTTTCACTATGTATATTTTATTTGACCAAAAAATGATAAAATAGCATTTAAATCGAATGTATACCAACTGTGGCTCCTGAATAATAAAAACATAAATTTGTATCCATAAGCATAATAGGACATTTAATAATTCTTGTTATTCTGTAAAGTCATTTGGTCTTGTGCCAAATAGAAACTATAAAAATATAATGAGCTTTTTGTCAAAAACTGTTATGTAAGGCCTTGGAAGTTTCTAGTAGTTCAGTGCTTTCTATTCCATTCACGTTTTTGTTGAAATAAAATGGAAAAGAAAATAACCTTGTATATGCATATTAGAACTAACAGGTAAGGGTTTCCATGGATACTTTTATGCAGCCAAAGAGTTCGTGTGCAGAAAAAGGCATTCATTTCTAGTTCTAAGAGATTCTGTTCTGATAAGGAACTCCTGCCAATCATTTTATGTCTTGACTTTCTAACAGAATAAAAATAATATATATCATGTGTGTTATGTTGTAAGTCACGAGATAGTTCTATCTAAATAACATTTTCAATCATCTGGCCTATTCGAGTAATGCTTTGGAATTTTGTTAAAGCTTGGAAAATCTATGAAGATTTTGTAAGCAACTTTTAATGAGTTTATTGCTTTCTAGATATGTATGAGGCATCTTTTTTCTCTCTTTTTCTTGGTCATACTTAGGCAGTTTAAATTAACCAACTACTAGTGCTAGAATAAAAGTTTATCTTTTACTTAAAATAGCTTTTTTATCTTTTATCTTTAATTTTACCTTTAATTTTTATCTTTTTGTCTTTAATTTTATCTTGAAGAAATTTCAGATACCTTTGATTGAATCTTATTAGTTGATATTCTACCCAAATGAAATTTTATGCAAGTTTTCTTTTTATCTTTTTGAGAAACATGTCAAAAAAGATTTCACACCATGAAACTGCTAGGTTAAATTTTAAGCCATACAGTTTTATGAGAAGCTTGATGGGGTTCTGTAAACTTTTAATGAGCGAATTCGTTCTAAACAACATGTTTTAAATGTAGCACTATTGTTTTACACTGACTTGCACCTAAGCAATTATAAATTGTGAGCATGGCCTGTAGAATTATTTTTAAATAAATAATCTGAAAAATCATTTGATCTTAGATTTAAGAGTGAACTCTCAAATATGGTTTGTTTTTACTAGTTAACACGGACTCTGGATAGCAGTAAAGTGTAAATCATGATCAGAATGGTAAACAAAGAGGCAATTAAAATATCACTCAACTTCCAAACTGATTAAATAATAAATTTTTTCAACAAAACTTTCATGATTTATGTTTTCAAGTCCATAGATGTAACAGCTTTTTCACTGAGTGCAATACTGTCATGACACATACATTGTCATGATACATACATTGTCATGATACATTATACTATTATAATGTAAGCTAAATGGCTGTCAAAAATACAGGTTACATAAGACGAGAAGAAACAGAAATGCAAACTATATTAAGCCGTAACATTGGTTTTGGCCTTGGCATAATAAAGATGACATCTTAATGATTACCAGGGATACTGTTTGTAGAAGATGATTCATAAAATGTATTTTATTATGGTATTGTGCACTGCTAGAAAGGGGCCTCCTTTCAAAAGCTGCTTTAAATAATTGGCATTTCACAATATGTATCCAGTATGTCATTAAGACTGCACACAGATTATTACAGTACTTTCTTTATATTCAGCATCAAATTATGTAAACTTCTGGCCTAAAGTATTATAAAGTTACTTCTTAAATGGGATCTCATTAAACGAAAGAGCTTCTGCACAGCAAAAGAAACTACCATCAGAGTGAACAGGCAACCTACAGAATGGGAGAACATTTTTGCAATCTACTCATCTGACAAAGGGCTAATATCTAGAACCTACAAAGAACTCAAACAAATTTACAAGAAAAAAACAAACAACCCCATCAAAAAGTGGGCAAAGGATATGAACAGACATTTCTCAAAAGAAGACATTCATACAGCCAACAGACACATGAAAAAATGCTCATCATCACTGGCCATCAGAGAAATGCAAATCAAAACCACAATGAGATACCATCTCACACCAGTTAGAATGGCGATCATTCAAAAGTCAGGAAACAACAGGTGCTGGAGAGGATGTGGAGAAATAGGAACACTTTTACACTGTTGGTGGGACTGTAAACTAGTTCAACCATTATGGAAAACAGTATGGCGATTCCTCAAGGATCTAGAACTAGATGTACCATATGACCCAGCCATCCCATTACTGGGTATATACCCAAAGGATTATAAATTATGCTGCTATAAAGACACATGCACACGTATGTTTATTGCAGCACTATTCACAATAGCAAAGACTTGGAATCAACCCAAATGTCCATCAGTGACAGATTGGATTAAGAAAATGTGGCACATATACACCATGGAATACTATGCAGCCATAAAAAAGGATGAGTTTGTGTCCTTTGTAGGGACATGGATGCAGCTGGAAACCATCATTCTTAGCAAACTATCACAAGAACAGAAAACCAAACACCGCATGTTCTCACTCGTAGGTGGAAACTGAACAATAAGATCACTTGGACTCGGGAAGGGGAACATCACACACCGGGGCCTATCATGGGGAGGGGGGAGGGGGGAGGGATTGCACTGGGAGTTATACCTGATGTAAATGACGAGTTGATGGGTGCAGCACACCAACATGGCACAAGTATACATATATAACAAACCTACACGTTATGCACATGTACCCTACAACTTAAAGTATAATAATAAATAAATTTTAAAAAAAAAGTATTATAAAGTTACTTCTTGATGATGATTTATTTTGGTAATATAAAATATCCTATTCCTGTATCTTCTTCCTCTTGCCCATCATTCAGTATTTGTATTTTCCAAAGTTCATCATCTGTCTTCTTGCTTTTACACTCCACCCCCCCTTAACAACCTACCCATCCTAACTATTTGAACCACAACCTGTTCACCTAAAAAAAATCTGTATTCTCCACAGAGACTTCCAAATCACTGTTTCATACGCAGACTTTTCACCCAATGAAAGTATCTAATGGCTTACTTAAGAGTTCTGCCTGGATATGCATCTTGAACCAAATATGTTTTACTCTCAAACTCAGCAACTTACTTCAAAATCTATTCCTCCTTCAAGATATGCACCTGAGTGTGGAGTGGGCCTACAGCCTCCACCTCACAGCTCAATCACCAGTTTTGAAGTACCATGAGTGTCATGTCCCAAGGCCCTGACAAATTTGCCACTCCTCTCCAGCCCCTTTACTCCTGCCCTAATTCACACACCCATCGTCACTTTCCCGAATTATTTGAATAGCTCCTGATGTACAGGTTAGACTTCACGACTGCCTTCCAGAATTCATTCACTGCAGGCAGAATACTCTTTCTACAGCATGAGCTAATTAAGTTAGTTTTTTCTTTTTTTTTCCTTATCATCTTTCACTTTGCTCTACAGGACAAAATTCAAACTCCTTAAAATGTTATATGGGGTCTATTATGGTCTGGTCACGGTGATGCCATCCTTTGGAATTTAATCACCAAAATGTTCCTTCCACATATAAAATGCTCTCTGGCCTGCTTTCCTTCGTTATGCCTTGTTTTTTCATGCTTCCAAGCCTTGGAACATTCCATTCCTTTGCCTAAAATGTCCCCTTCCCTCTGACCATCCCACTGTCATCCCACCTGCCAATATCTACCCATCAGACTCCCCCTAATCACTAAGGACAATGTTAGCATCAACTTTTCTGTGAGCAAAACAAGATCCACTGCATTTATTCCCACACGCCAACATAGTCCTTGATTCTGCACTTTAATAATCTGTCATGCACTCATCTAGTACAATAGGTGTTATGTTGGAATACAAGTATTTTCTGGAATATTAATTTCTCCACACAAAACTCAGATCACTTTAAGGACAGAACATTGAAATTCAGGTCATGAGACTCGAGTCTGAACACAAGTTTTGTCAATTCCTCAGTGTACCACCTCAAAGTTGCAGAAGAAAAATAATAAAGTATAAGAATGACATGCTTTTAATACCAAAACGTTTAATGAGCTGTTTCATATAAGTCAAAAAGTCAAGATATTCAGTCAAATGCTTCCATCAACTGTGAAAATATGTGTTTGCAGAAATTCATGAGTTTTGATAAGGCAAGTCTGTTGACAATTTTTATTTTCTTCTCATGGCAAGATATCTATGAAAATCTAATTAACATAAGCGCTATAGGAAAGCATATCTCCAGATTTTGATGAAGTCCAAAGTGTTTGTGGGTGGGTGGGTGTATGTGTGTGTAAGTGGACTCTTAGTGTTCCAAACCTATGTAATGTACTTGGTAATTATTGCTTTGGGCCATAATAAATTTAAACAATAAGTGCATTTTATTCCTACTTTCTATATAATATTGTGTCAGCACTGTGAACACAGAGGGTCATGTGGGGCTCTGGAATCCAGACTTGGCAATAAGGTGGTGCAAGTCCTGCACAAATTAGCCATTAATATCTCTCCCCATCTCTAGTCCTTCCTAGCACTGGGGAAATAGCAATATCAATAGTAATAAAAATATTTAATACTGCATTCATAATGTGCTAAGTACTTTAAAGTTAATATTAACTCAATAATCAATACTACTAATAATAATTTAAGCATTGCTTTTTATATATATATATATATTTAGGGCTTCTTTAACTCCAGGTGAGTTAGTAACCTTGTATTTTGCACATGCATAGCTTGTCATGAGTACCTTTAGTACAGCAGTCATCAACTGCGTAAGTACTATTTTCCTTATTCTATAAAGGAGGCGTGTAAGAAACAGAAATGGCAAATAAATTGTGTTGAAAGAGTGATACTACTGAAATTTACGCCCAAGGAGTCTAACTCCAAAGTCAGTGCTACTAAATACTACATTATAGGTTTATACTGTGGAAGTTAGAACAAATAATTCATAAGAGGATACATTCAGCTCCAAGAGAGGGTTTCAGTCTATAAAGAGACAAAAGCTTTGTCTTGATGTTAAGATTTATGGGCCAATTAGATGCATATAGTTGAGCCTCAGGTCTTTTAAGTATCAGCCAATGAACCTGCTCCTTTTTTCTGAGCCAGTGCCAGTCACCTGGAGCTCCAGGGACTTGAAATCTTTAAAATGGATCAGTCTCTGCTGGGATTAGCCCCAGCCCAGGAATGGCTCCTCCACATGCAGAAAATGTTTGCCCTGGGGGAGAACACAGTCTAGTAGAGAAAACCAAGAGAAAATGGGTAAATGTTCAATCATAATGCAGAATTAAATACCAATGCAGCTAAGAACCTGTGAATGCCACCACAGACAATAGGGAATGCATCACTCCAATATTC